GAAGACGGCAATGGCGCAATGTTTGCCGTTTGTGACCAGCTGCTTGTTTTAATATTTCCTTGGAAAATAAATCAATAAATACCTACGTCATTGCCGTCGTCTATCGTGACGTCATGCTTGACGAGCATCACGGCCTAAGTTAAAAATTTATTTCTAAATGTGAAAACAATTTTTACAGGATAACTTGGATACGATATAAGTTTTTACAAAGCCTATTACAATGAAAAACAGGTGTAGGTAGATGACAAGAGAGGAATTTTTAATTGAACACATTAAACATGTAGAAAACATGAAAAAACAAATTTATTACCTTGACAAAAACAATAAAAAAAATTCAATTTGAACAGTTCAAAAGCTCTTAGCAGTTAAAAATTAATTCTCCTAGCTTTGATCTTGGCAAATTCTTTAACTGCTGAGTCTGTATCAATCTGGTTCAGAACAGGCGTACGTATACAACTAAAAGAGTGCAATACACTACAAAGTAATGCTCTGCTCCAGGAGGGGAGAGTTATCAGAAGTAGAAGGGAGGGAAGGGAGGGGGAAGTTCCTTGTTGTGACAAATGGTGCTGCGCGCCTGCTTATCTCGAGCATGAGTCATGAAATTAAACCCAAAGGCGCCGCGCTGTACGCTGCCGAGCGTCAGCTCAAAGCTACAAATCGAAACTAAACTGCAAATGGCATTAAGTCTTTGTTGTAGTGCTGTACAAATATACACATTTTTCAAGTGCTGTTGGTACAAACAGAATAAATGCCTTTATTGTGGTGCTTTGAATGCTTGAACTCTGAGCAAAAATAAACAAAATTAGGTTGTTAAAAAAAATTGTTCCGTTGGCGCCACTTTTTCGTGGCGCCATATGCGGCCGCGTATGGGTTAAACCGGCCCTGCCTATAGTACAGGGTCTTCCTCCACCTTGAGCATTGTAGTACATGAGAGCAAGGGGGGTAGTGTTGGACTTTGTCCTAGACACCAGCACTATTGCTAGACACCACTCATGTGTACCTGTGAATGTTTCCTCTGTACCTTATTTCTTTGTGGATTAAGACCTACTTAAAATATAAATCCTAATGATTACTATAAACATTTCAGCTCCCTACAGTCTATAAAGTTATACACCTAACATTTTAGCATCCAATTACCGTATTTACAACTTACGCATAATTCAAATTTAACTGCATGCTTTTTTATACCTAGGCAGCTTGGTATGAAAGGATTGGCATTATTTTTCTTCCTAATTAGGACTACATTTCTTGTTGAAACCTAGGCCTATATGTCAATTTCAAGATAATTTTTTAATAATAAATTTAAATAAACTAGCCTAATAAATATTTCAACTTATTTCTTGAAAGTTTGCTGAACAAATGCAGCCAGTCTTACACACCTCTCAAGGCATTAATAGTAAAATAATTGGCAAAAACAATTGAAATATTGAACAAGTCTTTTGATGGTGTGCTATATATCATACCAGTTGTTCCTATGATATAAAAGGAAATTATATAGCTTACAACGATTGCAAGCCCATAGTACTTGAAGTGAGACAAACTTATGTATGCAATTGATAACAGCGGTATACATTGTAATAATTCTAAAAATGGTATCCTTGAGTGTTTTAGCCTTGCTAATTGTAAGACCAAAGCATGAACAATGGGAAAACACAAGTTGAATAAAGCTAAATTGTAATCAAAACCTAGATTTACATACAGCTGGGTCCCAATCAACGGCAAGATGACTAGCAGACTGCATTGATTTGTCAGCGAGTGGATTTTGTAGAGACGCAAACTATTGTTTGAACATATGCCTGAAAACAAGAGTATTGTGAAAAAATATGCTTAAGGTTATATTTTGAGGTTCAATTGTTTTAATTTTAGTTTTTTTATATTAACAGGAAAGATGATGAAAAGAATTTGGTCAAATTTGTCTTTTGGTTTGTTATGTAGCCTAATTTAGAATATTTTTCAACATAGCCTAATGTGTTTAAGTATACCTATATTTTCATAACTACCAGTGCCTACTTGTAAACCAACTAACTTAGTGGGCGAAGTGGCACTTTGCTGCACACGAGAGAAATGCTTACGCACGAGCCTTGGGCAAGGCAGCAAAGGCAGTGTGCACTCGAGTTACACATTATAGTTTTCCTACAGTTACTAAAGCATATAGGCCCCTAAATAAATAGTATTTCAAACACTGTAGGCTACAACAAGTTTTTAGGTTAGGTTAAATCCAAACATTGAATGAAATGGGAAACGCTGCACCAGCTGATCGTAGTCGTAGGCCTAGCATCTTAAAGTGTTGCTAGCCTATTTCCAAGCGTACTGGTACACAGATTACCTACATGCATAACTAGTGATGTAAAATACCCGGGTGTTTAAAACTCGGGGTAAATACCCTGGGTATTTACCCGGGTAAGTACCCAAAATCCATAAATACCCGGGTATTTTGGGTATTTATGAAATCTATTGAAATTCATTTATATTTATCCTTTAATATGTTATTGTTATCATTACATGATTAATTAGGATAGTCTATAACGCCTTTTACAGTAACTTGAAGCTTTGCTAGTAGTCTTCCTTTTATTTAATAATTTAGCACTTCTTTTAATAATAGGTACATAAAGTTTCTAAATAAGCATGGGGTTTCGTGTCTTAAATCGAGTATATTTAACTTACTAAAAAATAGTATATTAAAAAAAGGCTGTGGCTATTTCAATTTTTATCATGTTATAAATTTATAACCAATTAAATAACATAAACAAAATTATTTTGATTTATAAATATCCAGGAATTGTTGAAAGATTTATTGTGTTTTAGATTCAAATGTTTTGTATGACAAGTTTATGAAATTAGTTTTTATTTATTTTGATACCATTGATACCAACAAAAGATCTAGAACAAAAATATTATTAAATCCTGCCATCCTACAGATTGAATTTTAATTATTTTCTTTGTTTACACATAGGCCGCTACTACGTTAAATTTTCCTGTCTTTCTAAATAATAATTATTACTTTACAAATTATTTTTCTTCACTTTCAATAAAATAAATTCATCTATCTAGCATAGAAATTAAAAAATCATAAGTAGTCAGGACCAGTGCAACCATGGGACCAGGGTATTTATGCTGATTATGCTTTATGCTCAAACCTGGGTATTTATGGCGGTTATATGGAGAAGTAAAATGCTAGTAGTTACCATAGGAAATTTTGTTCAACACATTTTATTATCCTTTTACTAACCTTACAGGGTAATAATTGTAAAAAAATCTCAATCTTCTCTAACTTTAATAAAAATTATAAATACCCAGTTTTTGGGTATTTACCCAGGCCTGGGGTAAATACCCAGGTAAATACCCAATTTATATTTACCTACCCACTGGGTATTTACCCGGCCCACATCACTATGCATAACTTAATAAAAGCATGCTGTTTTGTGTTGTTTGGTTGGAATACTGGTGTGCGACAAAGTAGGTAGGTAAGTTAAATGCAGCAAATTAGCAGCTTTCTGTACCAATCAGTGCAAGGAAGCCCACTTTGTCGGGTGACTGTAATTGGTGTGAACCTGGCAATAACTAGTGCACGCGCCACAAAAAATCTATTGCTGGCCGTTTTGCGGCAAAATACGTCCGCGATCCATATTACCCATGATGCCAACAGATAGAGGACTTTTTAACGGACATGACAGTATCAACATCATGTACCTGGGGAGTAGGTTAGGGCGGGTAAAATCAGCGATAAGTAGTGCGCGCGCCACAAAAAATCTATTGCTGGCCATTTTGCGGCAAAATACGTCCGCGATCCATATTACTGATGATGCTAACAGATAGAGGACACTTTAACGGACACGACAGTATCTACATTATGTACCTGGGGAGTAGGTTAGGGGGGGTAAAACACGTAAGATAAGTTAAATGTAATTTTAAGACTTTCTAACCTACATGTATGGATGGAAACTTACCATATGTCACGAGACCAATTATTCCACTCAAAATGTAAAGCACAAAGGCTATTCTTGCAAATTTAAAGTCAATACACTGAATGAAGGACCAACTGGATGAAATAGATAGAGCGGCATATGACAAAGCGGTATTAAATGTATTCTCTTCCATGGTGTCAAGGCCCAGAACTTTTAAGGTTAGGCCTATTTTAAATTCAAAATAACTAAACCAGTCTACCTATACACTGTTTGTTACATATTAAAATGTAGCCGTAGCCTATGCCTAGGCCGGTTCAATATGCCAATAAATAGGTAGGCCCTAGGTGACTCTGTTCAACAAAATTCACGGATTCGGTAGCTAGGTATAACCTTACCTACTTCAGTTATTAGGCTACCAACAAAATAATGAAAAATTAAAGAATATTACTGTACAGTCCCAACATTGCCACCTCTTCACATAGCACAAAACTCAAAAACAAAAAATAAAATGTAACTCATATGACACTGACACTGACAGTCGTGACAGAATATTTTACACTAGTATTTATTTAGCAGAACTTTACTTGGTTTGCATTGCAATTGCAGCGCAGTAGCCGCAGCCGACCGACAGACGCCTTTTACTTTTTTTTGCGTTTAAATTTTAATTTACTGTAGCAGGCTTCGTTGGGCTTCATGTAACTTGAAACTATCAATATTTCTAATTAAACAGCAATCTTTTTTACATTTCGATTTCGATTTTGGCTTACATTACTATACGATTCGATACCAAAGCAGTTTAAAGTACATGGTTCTCCAATACATATATATATATATATATGAATTTGAACGGATAGTGTTTTTGGCCTCTAGGGACCTCAAAACGAAAAAAAATCGGTCCCGCGTCCAGGTCTTACCATGAGCACTACGGTAATAGCATTGACTTTATAATTTTATATAGCTTATTCCCTATAGGGGAAATTCGCTAAAACTCACTGAACTCCTGAAGCCTGGTCCTGAGTTTTATTTGGCTGTTTTGTTTTGTTTGCATTCCGGCATTCGTTTTTGTCGAACTCAATATTTTGTTTGTGTTTGGTGTTGTTTAGTTAGTATGTAAACAAACAGGCTACGCTACGAGAGAGTTGTGTTGTGTGCATAAAAAGTTTAGCTAACTTAACTTATCCTATATTTCAAATTAAAAATATTCTCTTTCTTGTTTTAGCTGCAGTTATAGTGACATAATGATCGTGTTAAAATGTATATAAATCTCCTGAGGATCCAGGCTATACTTAGACTACTGTATTTTGAAAAATAACCTAGTAGGTAAGTTGGCTAGTTTTAGCATTACAGAGCCTAGAAATGTTAGGTAGTTAACAAATTTGCTTCCTTAGCAAATTTGAACAAATTTAGGCTATCCTTATTATATTAAAATGAATATGCCTAAGTGTTTTTGAATGTTTTACTTCTTTAGGCTGTGAATACAAAATCTCTATGATGTAGCCTACCAATGTGTAGGCCTAGGCTAAGTTAGTCCTTTTAATGAGTTTCGGCTCTTGGCCTCTTGGGTACAGTTTCTTTACTGGGTTATGCTAATATCGATTGAAACTATCGAATTATATAGGCCTAAGTTATATCTAGGCCCTATTATAGGTGTTGATCACCTAGTTTTACTAATAAAAGTTCACATTTTGTATAAGAAAATAGAAAGTTAGTATTTACTAAATCACAATCTGTAAGTAAACATAAACAATTCAACAAGTAAACAATAGTAGTTTACGCAACGATTGTGTTAAGTGAGTCTTTACGACACGAGTAGAAAATTTAAGGCACGAGCCTTGGCGAGTGCCTTAAAAACTTCTACGAGTGTCGTAAAGACTATTAACGCGAGTTGCGTACACTACTTTACCTACAACCGTTTTTTAATTACTATCAATATGGATTTAATTACTAACAATCACTAATGATAACTTTTTAGAGAGGTTATGTTTTCGTGTATTGTCATTGCCACTGAAAGTGATGCAACGACTTGTTGTATAATCAGCTGATTTCCTGTAATTACGTGTTTGTTAAACTTTGTTAAATATTACATTGCTAGCAGCATTCTTACCATAAATAATATTGTATCAGGTACAATTCGGCAAATATTTCATTTATTTTTGGACTTCCACCAACTTAATTAAGAATACGCGAGTATCAACATGAACAAGTCGGATCAACAATTAAATTGGTCAACTGATCAGCTGATTAGTTGACGTTCGAAGCATTACAATTTTAATTCTTTTCTCTCAATACTTGAACCTCATTGGTCCGTTACCTGTGTGGATATGAGAAAACTATGCGGATATGAAATGAAACTATGCGGATATGAAAGTAAACAGCTGTAAAGTGAAACTTTTCAATTCTAAGAACTGGACTGAAATGGCTACTTTAAAAAACGGTCGTAGGTAAAATAATGATTTGAACACATGTTAGAAATAAAATGTAAATAAAACATATGTAACACCTCCTCCTCTATTTACTGTGCTGCTGCACTTTACGAAGAATCAGCTGGTCAACATGTCTTCTTATTATTCGTCCATCTTCTAGCTGAACTACGTACATTACATGTCCTTGCTTTTTAGTTATATAGCCCGAATACCACTTGGACGAACCATTGACATATTTCCGCGCTTTCACTTTATCTCCAACTTTGAAATTCCTTTTTATACCGACTTGGACTCCCTTCTTCTGATATTTGTTCGGTTCTAATGTTGGAACAATTATTGCAAGGTTTGTTTGTACACTCCTTCCAAACATTATGTGGTATGCTGATGTACCAGTTGAATTCGGGGATTGCCTGAGCTGCATTAAGAGTCTTTGTATTTTATTTTGCAGCGTACCCTTTTCTCCCTCCATGGATTTTAACACCTTCTTGACAGTCTGTACGTATCTTTCAGCCTGGCCGTTTGAGTTTGGATGGTATGGTGCCGTTGTTCTGTGAATAATCCCACATTCATTCATGAAGTTTTTGAACTCTTGAGAAACAAACTGTCTTCCATTATCTGAAACTAAGATGTGAGGAAACCCAAAAGTTGAGAAGATTTTCCGTAATTCTTGGACTGTCCATGTACTTGTAGTTGTTTTTGTCTGTATCACCTCCACCCACTTACTAAAGGCATCCACTAATATCAGGTACTGTTGGCCATCTGTTGGTCCTAAGAAATCAATGTGCACCCTCTCCCATGGGTTAGAAGGTTGTTCCCATGGATGGATAGTTTTTCTCGGGTTGTTGCATTTTTCAATGCATTGTCGACATTCAGCTACCATCTCTTCAATATCCTTGTGTATACATTTCCACCAGCAAAAACTGCGAGCTAAAGCCTTCATTTTTATTCCTCCTAAATGAGCTACGTGTAGTTCTCGAAGCACATGAGGTCTGAGAGATTGAGGTATCATGACTCTCCAGCCCTTCAGTACACAATCATCTTGAATGGACAGCTCATTATCGTGAAATCCGTATTGTTCAACAGATTGTCCCAATTTTAAGGCCTGTAGGACTGGACCCAAAACAGCATCGTTGAGAGTTTCCTTAGCCACCACGGTACTGTTGATATTGAGTGTTTCCAGTTGATTTATGTGGTACTTCGAGAGGTCATCTACAGAATGTTCTTGAACAACTTCGATAGGGAAACGTGTAAGATAATCTGCATTGCAATGATGAGCGGTTTGCCTGTAGGCCTACTCTATGTCATAGTCGAACCCGGAGAGAAAGTGAGTATAGTTGAATATCCGTGTTGCCGAGATTGTTGGCAAGGTCTTTTCTGGATTAAAAATTGACACTAGGGGTTTGTGATCTGTGATCAAAGTAAATTTGCGGCCATAACAAAACGGGAAAAACTTTTTCAGGCCCCAATATATTCCCAAGGCTTCCTTATCGATTTGAGAGTATTTTTGTTCAGATTTTGACAAGGATCGAGAGGCAAAGGCAATTGGCCTGTCTGTTCCATCCCTATAGCGGTGTGAAAGAACGGCTCCTACACCTACCGGCGAAGCATCAGTAGCCAAGACCAGCGGCAAGCTAGGATCAAAGTGCACCAATACGTCGTCACTTGTAATAATTTCCTTAATCTTCAGAAAACTCTGTTTACAAGCAGAGCTCCATTTAAAAGTGTTTCCTTTTCGTAGCAGCTGATTCAAAGGATGTAGTAGTGTAGCAAAATTCTTTATGAATTTGTTGTAATAATTTGCAAGGCCTAGGAATGTTCGGAGTTCAGTTACGTTCTCTGGTCTTTTACATTTTAAAATGCTCTGTATTTTAGCATCTGACTTGTGTAGTCCTTTGCTATCGATCACATGACCTGGAAAAACTTACACTTTTCCCTATTTAGCCTCAAATCATTTAACTTCAGTCGTTCAAACACCTGTTCCAGTCGGCGAAGAAGCTGTTCCCTGTTAGATCCTTGGACAATTACGTCGTCAAAGAAACATTGTACGCCTTCTAAGTTATGTAATGTTTTGTCCATGAATCTTTGCCATAACAAGAGTGCCACTTTTACACCAAACATTAATCTGTTCACTTTAAACAGCCCTTTATGAGTACTGATTGTTTGCATGATGGCACTGTCTTTGTCCATCTCTATGTGCAAGTATGCATTGCTGATATCAAGAGTACAAAATATCTTTCCACAATGCATCTTTGACATGATATCATCGATCCGAGGTATAGGGTAATGTTCGTCTTTGTTCAAAGTCACCTTGTAGTCAGCACATATTCTGACTGAACCATTGGGTTTGACAACCGGCACAATGGGTGTCCCCCAATCGGATGATTCGACACGTGTGATTATACCCATGAAGTCTCCAGTCTTTCAAGTTCCTTCTCTACTTTTTCTTGTAATGCATATGGCATGTGTCTCGGTTTGATGTAAATTGGCTGGGTTTTGTCTTTTACATTAAAATGACCCTTTTTGTTTGGTATTTTCCCAATGCCTTCTTTGAAAATGTCCTCATATCGAATTATTAAATCATCTAGTTCTTGAATGTTTTCGTTTTCTTCACTCGAATTCAATGAATGTATGTCAGCTGCATCAAGTTGAATCTCTCTTATCCATTCTCTTCCGAATATAGAGTCTACACACTTGTTAATCAATGTACAGTTTTCCAACAAAACTTTGATCTTTATACTGAACATTTACAAAAACAACTTCTCTTGGATTGATTATTTCCCCAGTCTTGGGTTGAACATTTGTCTTGAAAATCCTTTTTGGAGAGTTTAAAAGCCTAAATGTATCATATGATACAATGCTAAGAGGTGCTCCTGTATCTAATTCCATTGTCATGAGTCGTCCTTCCACTTTTACCTCGAGCATTGAATCTTGTCATTTGATTTTGAATTAAGTTTGTAAATTTCATGACTGTCATCGCTTGTATTTTCTGCGGTTTCATCAGATTGTTTTACTTCTTTGTTTGGTTTTCTTAGACATACTCTTGCTAAGTGACCAAATCGTTTACAAGAGTTGCATTCTGCATTTTTGAACTTACATTGATGTGCTCTATGTGAATCATCACCACATCTACCTATAACATTTGTTTCTCAGTTTCTCCAAACGAGATTGATACCCAGAGAGATGTTTACTTAACTTACTATCTGGTTGTTTGTTCTTGCTCGATACTTGGTGTACTTCCTCTTGATTTTCATTTGTCTTTAGTATTCTGCTCTCACTTTAAGCTAGTTCCAATGTAGCAGCCTTTTCGACTACTTCTTTAAACAGTTGCAATAGTTTATCTTGAAGAAGTTGAAGACGTATATCAGAGTCTTTTAGTCCCCTGACAAACTGCATTTGAAGTAGAATTTCAGACACGGATTCATTACAACTTGTACAAGTAAACTGACATTCTACGCTGAGCTTTCTAAGAGCATTAGCGTAAGCTTGTACAGATTCATTACATAATTGGATACCTGTTGTAAATTTGTGCTGACGAGCCCAAATACTGGGTTTTGGTTCTAGTTGAGCCATTAACATGTGAATCAATTCCTCATATGGCTTGTTATGTGGGTCATCTGGTATGCAAAGATCGTATAGCTGTTCATGTATTTGTGGGGTGATTGCCTGTAAAAATAAATCCACTTTGACTTTTGGATTTAAGTTTCCCCGTAATTTTGTGTAGTTTTCAAAGCGTCGAGTGAAGTTTTGAAAACTTCCTCTGGTGTATGCGGCTGTAAAGGAATATTAGATACATTTTGAGATGTTGCAGAAGCAGACATTGCTGCATGTGTAATGTACTTTTTCTTTTCTGCTTCAAGGAATATTCGTATCTCTCTATATATTTCTTCTAACTGCCATTGAATTTCTAATTCACTTTCTACTGAATCCGTGTGAAGCTCAATATTTGACTGTGTAACTTCAATTTCAGTCCATATTGCTAAAAGTTTATCTGAGTAGTAAGTGCATGTATCTTGAGAATGTTCACATGTAGGTAAATCGTCCTTGAGTTTGTTTAGGCGTAGTTCTAGTAGTTTCCTTTTCTTTAGACATAGGTCAAATTCTTTTCTACTTACCATTTTACTCGTCGCCATTGTTGATTCCACTAGTTTTACTAATAAAAGTTCACATTTTGTATAAGAAAATAGAAAGTTAGTATTTATTAAATCACAATCTGTAAGTAAACATTTATGTTACAGATTGTGATTGTTTATAAACAATTCAACAAGTGAACAAAATAATAATTTGAACACATGTTAGAAATAAAATGTAAATAAAACATATGTAACAATAGGCCTAAAATCAGTCTGTCATAACCTAACCTAACCAACAAAACTTACTGATGGTGAAAAAATCGCATGAGGTTTGCTAATCGAATCTATAGTATCAATCGATATTAGCATAGCCCAGTTAACCCTAGCAGTGGCCAATGTAAGAAGTGGGGAATGGCCAACCCATTTGGGCGATTTTGCAGACCTTTTTTTGAAAATTTGTTTGATTTTTTTTTAAATTTCAAAAGCGGCCTTGGTATTTTTTTTTCTACGGATTTTTTTATGGGAAATTCACTATTACTTAGGCCTATACATTTTGTAGACAATCTAATTCCCTACATAGAAAAATATAGGTAACATGTTAGGAAAATATTTTTTTTTATAAGTTTTTGGGGCGAAATATAATAACAAACGGAGAACCGAAAAAATTGAAAACCGTAAGTTATACAGTGTTATTTTTGTTGTTGTAAAAAGTTATATAATGTGTTTAACTTACTAATAATGATATATACATAGCAAAAAGCTAATGAAGTGAGGAATAAAAAAAAGTCATCATAAAGTTTATGGTAAAAATATTTTTTATTTATAAATAAAATAATGTTTTTGTATTTTAGCGATTTTGTGAGAAAAAAAATCATAGTATTTAGTCCCTAACTAACTTAGTATAACACTTTTGTACCAAATGTTTTTACTACAAACCAACATAAAACATCTTGTAGTGTTTTCAATAAAAAATTTTTGTTTTTACGTGCTAGGGGCATAATAATATAGGCTAAATAAATGGAAAACCTCAAAATACAACCAAAAGAAAAATAGTCTACAACCTTTTATAAACACAATTTGACACTATTCAGTAAATATTCATGCATAGGCCTAAATAAATACATGAAGATTACTGTTATAAGGCCTACACATACACATTTCTAAAAAAATATGAAATAATAACGAATTTAGTAATCAATCGCGGATAAAACAAGAGCGAAAACTCACCGGCAACAACACGCAATGGCGAATACAAGGCACTTTGTGTATGAGATCTTGACAGTAGTGACACACTTTCGTCGTCTTAGTGAGAGAAACCGAAAATAACCCTGAGCGCAGGGCTGCCACTATCACAAGCTACATTTCTTCCTCTTCAAAATGACATATTGTATGACTAGTAATAGTAACTTACACTGTATGTAATTTGTATTTTCCATAGAGTCACCTGACGACAGTTGGCCATTTGTTATAAATTTCGAAAACAGCTGTTTTCATAAAATCTTATCGGTTGTCCAATCAATATTTAGTTCTAAAATATCACTACCAAAATGAAGATAAAATCAATGGCTATACAGTGGTACCACCCGCAACATTCCAAGACGAAAATTACCCGAGCAGGGTAATGCCAAACAAGACGTGTTTTGCCAGTTCCCAAGGGTCCGCTGCTAGAGTCGTGCCGCACCAAAAATTCATTTGATTTCTAATCGTCGTGATAACAATGTCCTGCTACAGGGTTTGTTTATGTAATAAAACGAAAGTTCATAATGTGATCTTTCGAATGGTAGGCTATATATATTATTCTCATCTGAGTTGATTATAACTAGGCCTATTTTTTTACCGTTAAAATAATTTCGGCCCATACCGTCACCAGACGACGGCTGGCCATTCTAAGCATTAACGTCAAACCGTCACCAGACGACGGTTGGCCACTGCTAGGATTAAGGAACTGTACCCGGCCTCTTTTACTAAGGCTGCACTTTAGTTTACGTCCTATACTCATTCAAATGAAAAATATTAATTTATCGGTTATTTCTTTCAGTTAGTTAGGTTAGGTTTCAACCTAACCAACCAAACATGAAAAGATATATCGATCGATATATTTATTCGAATGAATGTAGGACGTAGAATAAAGTGCAGCCCTTACTTACTTGAAATAGGTTGAAGCCATAATATATAACTATACCGTAACTTAAACACACCATTATAATTTCATTATTAAGATTGCTTAAGTATATTTGGTCTAGGCTACAACTCTATCTTCGTATTTGGTAATTAACCCTTTTACCGCCACGGACATATACAACATTGCGCGTGAAGACCGCCGATCGCTACGTCAGCTGACTGTCTGAAGGTCGCCAACCCAACAGCTGGCGACACGAAAATCATTGACTATAGGAACATCTTAAGTGATTCATTAGTCTTAATGTTTCCCTCAAAGAAAATTTAATCTCATTAAAGGGATATAAATGGGCTGACTTACACCTTGTCCTTTTAGGCATGTTGGGATGGGAGGTCGTTCTTTATGTTGGTTCGGGGCTGTAGTAAGTGCTTTGAAGTCAGGTTGGGTTAGGTAGGTAAAGTTTAGGTTATAATGAACGGAGTTGTTAGTTTATGTTATCCCCAGAATTTTTTTGTCTGATAAAACACTGGGTAAGACACTGCAAAATACTATTTCAAAACTGCTTCCAAGCAACTCTGAGCGTAATTATATTTTAATATTTTCAGATACACATCATTTAACTTTTAGGTCCCCTTCCTTTGTCTCATGTATTAGCCCTGAAGCTGGTTGAAAGGCCAAGAGTAATGTCGATCGCTTATTTAATTTGAAAAAATCATGACCAATTCACAAAGTTAATAGGTACCTACTTTGTTCTGCCTGGATGTGAATTACAAGAAAGTGAAGGCCTAAAGTACATAACTAAATGACTGGCCTGCTGTAATTGCATTTTGCAGCTTAAGAAGGATATAGGCCTACCTATGACTTTTTACATGCCATCTCATTAATGCTTAGATATTATTTTTCAGCATGGCAGCTACCAGAGAAAAACGGTGCAATGCTGGTAATAAGTTGGCAAAACTATTGAATGAAGAGGAGGAAGATGAATTTTATAAAACTACCTATGGAGGGTTTGAAGAAGTTGAAAACGATGATGACTATCAGTAAGTGAAAATTGCGTCCATTTGATATTGCATTTTTTTTATGTTTGTTGAAACCTGTAAACACCCGTAGGATTAACTTATTGTTGGGTTATTTTTCCTATTATAAAAAAAGGGCAACCAGATGACATTAGAAAGCAAACATAGGGGAAAAAATACTGATACTTATACTTTATACTTTTCTTTGAAATGTCGACCATACAAAGTAGGTATTTTAAGCCAAGTATGAATGGAGATGAATGTATGATGAGTGGCGCGATCTTGTAGTCTTGTTAGTGACTAAGGCCGACATATTCCTTAGACACAGCTGTTAATTAATAGCCCATACAGCTAATGGCGACTAAGGGACCTACAGTTTATAGTGGAATCCGAACCACTTTTTTTCCTTGGTATATACGAATTGGTCTAATTATCAGGATAGTACTGCGGATAGTCGTAGTACTCACCCGTGCGGACGTTAATCCACACCAAGGAGTATCGCATAATATATGCAATACAAAATAGATACAAAAGGATATGCATGTAATGTCTAGACCTTTACTTATGAAACTTGTTATAGATGTTATAGAATAGATATTATAGATGTTATAGAAACGGATAACTTAAATTGATGTTATAGTTGTATTTTGTATTATATCTATAAATATTTTTTTATTTACCGCTTTATTAAAAACCATGAAACCTGATCGCTCCGCTCATCTGGCTTTCACTGCTATGCAAGCAATCCTAGTTATTATTATTATTATAATTACGTAAGGCGATTCTTTGCGTTGAAATTGTGGGCGAATAGGATGTCGTAGAACGACGGGAAAAATAGTGGAATTCCCAAAATTTTAACCGAAATTTAGATGTAACGTAAAATATTCTCCATAAGAATAGCATTAGAAGCCATACACAGCTGATTTTTGTTATATTTTTGAGCCAGTATTCGATACATGCAGTTGGTTTACTTCTGCAATGCACTGTATACTATATTAAAACCAGGGATAACGTTATCTATAATTGAGACTTTTTAGAACACAAAACCAAACCAAAGATTTTTGTGTCAATTGTCAATATTGGACAAACATTGGAATTTATTGGTAACGGAAAAAATTCAAAATATTGTAAATTTAAAATTCCCATGTTATTCTTATGGAGAATATTGTAAAACGTTGTAGTTTGCATGTTTATGGATATATTTTGATCAAATTTGGCCAATTTATTTATTTTATAGTAAGCTATTAATATTTTACAAAAAATACACTTTATTAGTTTCCTTGTAGCAGCAAACCTAGGTAGGCCTACTCGTTCAACCTAATGTTATTTAAATAGATTTAATTGGAAATTAATTAAGAGAAATAGAAATTCGCTTAGTCGGCAGGTTTGCTGCGGCGGGGGTATTTTTATTGTTTAGGGGCAGTGGTAGAACATTATGGCTATGGTAGATGTGCTAGACTATTATAGCATACCGTAAATTAAAAGAATTAAATGTTCTTAAACCGGGCCCTCTCCCATTGCTAACGCAAATCACGAGTATAACTGGTGCAATAAGCATTTTATACCTATGTACGCTAACCCCGTACGAAGGACAGGTACTCTGCTAGTATATAAATATAGGTCTTGCTGTAGTTTAGTTCATTGATTTACATCTTAATTTTCAAGATCTGAAGAAGAGGCTGAAGATGAAGTCGATTCAGATTTCAGTATTGAAGAGAATGATGAAGTGAAATCTGACAATGAAGATGAAGACTCAAAAAAGAGACAGAAGAAGGGTGTTTTCACTAAAGCTTACAAGGTAAGCTCAACTTTGTTTCAGGCCTATATGTACTAAGTTATAATTTAAATAAATAATCCCATTTAGAATTAGGTAGATTAATAGACTACTCTAAAAAAGATATTATAGTTTTAGGTCTATGTAAAAACGAACAACTAAATAGCTTACCTATTACTGTAACTTACATGTTCTAATTTTAATCAGAATCAAAAAATACTACCACAGAAAACTTTCCATTTACCTTGCTGGATTTTCACTAAAATATTTCAAAAAAATTTTCAAGTTTGCTGCCTTAGGGAAGGTAAAAAGGTATGATTTTTTAATTGGAATATTGATAGCTTAACAAATTTCCCAACTTCAATTAAAATACAGGGTCATCAAAAAAGGTGTCCGGGATTTTATATTGTAATTACTGGAATACAAGCGAGTTATCTGTAGGTACGAAATAAAAGTGAAAATGTTTAGCAACTCTCAGAGTTTTTGTGTCATTCTGGACACAAAACAGACCTTTTGTGGACCTTTCGGGTCACGTGACTCGTGTGCTTATGCGCATTTGTACTTCCAGCTCCGCGCTTACTGAGACTGGCAGTAGTGTAGTGGCAGTCATGGCTACCGTACAACAGAAGGCGCAGTGTGTTTTATGGTATGCGGAATTCAAATCAGTCGTGTTAGTGCAACTTTATGTCTACCTACTTAATGTCCAAATTTAGTCGTATTCGTTAAACTTTTTGTTGTAATTCTTTATAAATAATAAAAGGTAAATCAGGTAAAAAGTGTATTAGGCCTATTTCACTAACATCAAAAATAGAAACTAACATAAATAATAACAATTAAAAGAATAAAGATCATATGATCAGCCGGTAATTAAAATGCAGTCTATTAAATAATCATAACAATCTTCCCCGCATAAGTTTGAGCTCACACATAAGCTTGAAGGTAACTTGGCAGTTGTCGAACACGTGTTGATCTGCGTAACTGTCAATTCGGACTTCAACGGGAATCTGGATGTAACATCAGGATGCTGAGCCTCCACTACTGGTATTTGGCCATTCGTGGAACGTCGAGGTGATTGATCTTCAATTCTGACTGACTTCATCAGGAAACTGGATGTCACATTCAGGATGTTGAGCCTCCACTACTGGTATATGGCCTGTAGAGCATTGTAAAGCTATTATCCCTGCAGTGGCGATGATAAGAGCTCACAGGCTCCCCACCCCCCCCCCCCGCAAGTTTGTTCAACATCACATGTATTACCGCCTAAACTTGACAACGGCATCTCCCGAGGCGTCATCTTCGTCTTCCATGATCGTGGCAAAATCGTGAATACTTCTCGTAGTCATGGAAGAAACATTATCATACTCTACCATGATTGCAAATGCAGCCAAACCTATGACATGATCAGATAACAACATCATCGTCTCCCGCCTTCATGGCCCAATCCCTATCCCACGTCCAGTGGTGACGGCGGAAATAATTTTTTCCACAATCGCGGCAAAATCCTAGATATATCTCTCGCAGAAAATGAAACATTATTATCGTCTTCCCTAATTTGGCAAAATAATGAACATCTCCTGCGGCCGCGAAGACATCATCATCGTCACCCGCGGGGAAATGTTCTTGTCGATAACCGCAATCGTAATAAAAGCGTAGGCTTAATCTTTCAATTTCGTGAGCAAGACTCTCGTGGATATAAAAGCTTTTCTTTTAATTAGGCATTATTGTATTGAGTACTGAAAAAATCGGCTCGAGCTTGATTTTCTGACTTTGTACTTGATCTCTCTTAAGTTTGTAGGCCAGGCTCTGCTCAGCTCGAAAATCGACATTATATTATAAAAATCAACCGTTTCCCAAGCAAACCAATTTTAAACTGATCTGATTTTGCCTGAGGCCCATAGGTAAGTAACATTTTCTACCTGACTCAACGTAAACAAATCTAAAGTGCAGCCTCATAATAGTAAGAAATGAAAGGAAATGAAAATCCTTCTTTAGCATCAAGAATGAAATTATTTATTAGCTAGTGCCCTAGCCACCTAGGTTAATTTGCCGATTTGATCGTTTAAAGTTAGAAATTGTAAAGTTCATTTGGTTGAATCATCATGGAGGACCCTCTCTGGTGTGACCCGCCGGGGGCTAGAAGGATTAACATTAATGTTTTATCCTCCTAGGCCGGGGGCCACATTGTCTCTTAATACGGCCCTATTATAGCGCCTTCATACAGTCCACGAGGACAGTTGATGCAACCTGCATGACTGATGACAATTCATTTACTTGAGTTGGTAGAGAGTTTATATCGATCGGTCAAGTAATAGTGTCAGTTTAGTTGTAAACAACTTGTCCTATAGTTGTCAACAGGTCAACGCTGGGCAGAAACCATGGGCCCGTAAGTAAGTTGTCCCTATTCAGACGCCTCCTCGAGACCTAATCCTATTATTGCGCGTGATGGACTGCATTGACAGTGCAGTACGCCAATTTGAAATTTGTTATTTTATTAATTTGTTATTTATCTTTGGACCCCACCCCCCCCCCCCTGCAACTTCAATGATAGCCCACCCCTAAATTGGCAAAAACCCCTAAAAAAACAACAAAAAGTTACAAAAAAAGATTTTAAACACGCCTATATATTGGTGAGTGATTCCAAAATTTAGGCAGTCCACAGCCTGGGAAAAGTGTGATGGAAATCAATAGCAAAATTAATTCCTAACACATTTAAATTTTAGACCTTTTTACAAAAAATAAACATATAATTAATCATTTTTATACATATAGTAACTGAGAAAATAAGGTCCGCACATAACATAAATAATGTGCTAACCTAAGGTAATCTTATATGCTACAAGTTTGTTTTTTTTTACTTATAAACTGTGGTAAATATTGGCCAATTTATATCAGTTTCATACCAATTTTATCAGGATTTCAAGACGCATCAGAATATGACATTTGTTTTCATGAAATTAATAAAATAACAAATTTCAAATTGGCGTACTGCACTGTCGATGCAGTCCATCACGCGCCCAGCGAAACGGCAAATAGGATTAGGTCTCGAGGAGGCGTCTGAATAGGGACAAATTACTTTCGGGCCCATGGTTTCTGCCCAGCGTTGACCTGTCGACAACTATAGTGCTCTTGCTGGTTTAAAAAAAATCCAAGATGGCGCCAGGTGAAGGCAATGACTCTTGTGGTGTATGTAAAAAGAAGGTTAAATCTAATCAATCTGCTCTTCAATGTGAAGGGAAATGTTGTCTATGGTTTCATATTAACTGTCTCAAAATTGATAAAGTTAAATTTGACCAAATTGTATCGCTTGGTAAAATAGTGCTGTGGATCTGTACTGCTTGCCGGGATGCAATGGATGAAGGATGCAAGGATCAACTTCAACTGTCGCAGAAAGCAAGTTCTGATGTTCCAGCTTCAATACTCTCAGTTGAAAGTTTAAATGAAATTATGATCCAACTTCTTGATAGTCACGATAAACTCAATAAATTGGTGACAGAACATATTGGTCGGCCGTGTAGTGCCCGTGACGATCGCCAGGAACCATTACGTGAAGGAAGTAGGCCTATCTCTAAAACCTTTTCTTCGGTCTTAAAATCTGTTCCCTCTCACGTAAGACAATCTCCCAATAATCCTAAGAAGAAAAATGACCACTCAGGTGAGTCAAGCAACAGACAGTCTAGTAGTCCTAACCTAGATTCTAACATTGGACTAGGCCTAGGTCTAGATACCGGTAGTGAAGAACACAGGCAGAGTGGCAGTGAATGTGATGAATAAGGTTTTACTCGTGTTGTTTATCATCGTAGTCCTAGACAGTCTCGCCCTAAAATTGTGAAAGGTCTAAAGAACACTTCCGGCAATAAATTGGTTGTCGGGAATGGTAATGGCAATGGTATCTTTCAAGCTGTTAGTAAAAAATCGTGGATCTATGTTACACGATTTCAAGTAGAGACCAGTGAAAGTGATGTGAAAGGCTATGTCGAATCCTCTTTCCCAAACAGGATGATTGACTGTGTAAAGCTCCCGACACGACACGACTCTTATAACTCGTTTAAAATTGGTGTGCCTTGTGAAATCGTTGAATCCCTGATGAAAGCTGACTTCTGGCCCTCAGGAATACTCATAGGAAAATATTTTCCTAAAAAAAGTACCAGGCCTACTTCTCATTCAAATCCTGTTTCCAGTGTAGAAGATCCTAGTAGGACTAGGCCTAGTCATGGTAATTTTTTATCCCAGTCTGTGCCTCCAACTCATCCAACGTAAATATGGATTGGACACCCTGTAAGGTTAGAAGTTTATTCACTGTATTGACGTTTCTCTTTTTAAACATACAAGGTTTGGGCGATAAACACCTAATCCTTGAAAAAGACTTTCATAGTTATGATTTTATCTGCTTGTCCGAACATTGGGTTAAAAGTGACAATATCGATCTCTGTGGGCTTTCAGGCTACAACTTAGTCAGCAATTTTTCACGGACTTCGCAAGGTAGAGGGGGCACCCTAATTTTTGCTCATCAGAAACATCAATGTGAAAGGATTGACCTATCCAAGTTCTGCGCAGAAAAAACTTTTGAAGCTAGTGCAGCTATAGTCAGAGCTCATAAACTACTTATAATCTCGATATACCGTACACCTGACAGCGACGAATGGTCTTTTCTAAACACCCTAGAAAAAGTCCTTAACTACCTCTCAAAGTGGCGTGACTTTCATATAGTTATTGGTGGTGACGTTAATGCACAGTTTGATGTAACTTCAGCACGAAGATCTGTCACGGAACTTCTTCATCTCCTTAGGCAATTCAACTTATACCCTCAGAACAACCTACCCACACGTGGGACTGCCTGCCTAGACAACATATTCACAAACATCGGCCAAGAAAATGTCTACTGTGCTGTCAAGCAATTCCACTTCTCGGATCATGATGGACTATCTTTACATTTTGTGTGTGATAGTGAGTCAGTGCCTTCTCATACTCTAACATCCGTGTATAAAAGGTCTTTCTCAAAGCAAAATTGTGATATTTTTAAAACTAGACTCCAAAATATTGACTGGGAAGCTGAGCTAAACATTCCAACCCACTTTCCCCAGCCTCCAGGTAAAGCTTTTGCATTACTTAATAGTACTCTTTTGCATGAAATAGATATCTGTTTTCCTCTGAACAAGTGTAATACAAAAACGAATCGTAATGTAAAGCCAAATAAAAGATGGTACACTGCCAACCTTAGTGTTCTCAAGGATCAATTAGATGTAGCCTATGACAAACTTAAAAATAATTTCTCACCTTTTTTAAATTCTGACTATTGTAACTTAAAGAAAGAGTATAAGAAAGCTGTAAATAATGCAAAACTTGTCTATAACGCTAAACTTATTGAAAATTCTGATAACAAGTGTAAAACAGCCTGGTCAATTGTTAAAAAGAACTGTCAATCTAACCTCTCCTTAGTAAATGTACCTATAGATCCAAATGTTTTTAACAAATCATTGATTGACTCTTTCGACAAAGTTAGATCAGAAATTAATCGCCCAAATGTTAATTTTAAAGACCTCTTAAGTACTTTCCCTGTTAGTAATAAGAATTTTAACTTTGCCCCTGTCTCTTGTGACTACATTTTGTCAATAATAGGTAAAATGAAAAATAGCAAAAGTAGGGACTATTTAGACTTTTCTAACTGGTTAGTAAAGGAGGTTTCTGACCTAATCATTGTACCTCTCACCTATAGCATTAACACTTGTCTTCTAGAGGGACACTTTCCCGAGTGTCTCAAACTTTCCAAAATCATTCCTAAATTTAAGAAAGGTGATAGGAATAATGTGGGTAGTTATCGGCCCATAAGTCTGGTTCCTGTCTTGGCAAAGATTTTTGAGCATGTAATTTTTGATCAAATCAGTCAGTTTTTTGAATCTAACTCACTTTTTAATCAACATCAGTTTGGTTTTAGGGCTGGTCGTTCTACCATGGGTGCTGTTGATGGCATGGTCCGCACAGTCTTGAGCGCTTTTGAGAGCGGCAACTATGCTTGGGCCACGTTTGTTGACCTAAGTAAGGCTTTTGACTGTGTTGATCATGGCATCCTACTGCTCAAACTGCAGTATTACGGGATCCATGGTGGTGCGCTCAGTCTCCTTGAGACCTACCTCGCGGATAGAAGGCAGGTGGTTTGCATAGGAGGAGAGACTTCCTCTATTGCTACTAGCAACTGTGGCGTTCCCCAGGGGTCTGTACTTGGCCCGCTATTGTTTCTTATTGCTGTGAATGATCTACCTTGTAACTTAAATGGAAATATTTTTCAATATGCAGATGATACGACCATGCTTAGTATTGGTAGAGTAGAGATATATCTAACCTCAAAAATTCTGTTGTTCATGGTATCAATAGGGCCACAGAATGGTTTGCTGCCAACAGCTTTCTTCTAAATAAGGACAAAACCTTGGACCTAATTTTTAGTCTTAGGGAAATTCCAGATACTATAGTGTCTAACAGTCATGTAAAATTTCTTGGTGTTACATTGGATCAAAAATTGTCTTGGGAGCCTCATATAAACCAACTTTGTACTAGGCTGAGTCGATTAAAGTGCCTCTTTAGGAAATTAAGTAGTGTAATCCCAATAGATTGTCTGTTAAATGTTTACTATGGCCTCTTCCAATCAGCAGTAAGCTATGGAATAATTTTTTGGGGAAATAGCCCACATGTAAAAAAGGTTCTTGTAATTCAGAAAAAGATTCTAAGAATAATAGCCAAAGTAGATGTTGTTGAACACCATAAACAAATTTTTTTATTTTAAAATTCTCACTGTTGTTAACTTGTATATTTTTAATTTATTGTTAACTAGTTTTAAGAATTTAAATGCTTTTAACTGCCGTTAAGATGTCCACCAGCACAATACTCGATTCAGAAATAAACTTGACATTCCCTATGTTAGACTGGAGAAATCTAAGAAAAGTTATGAAATAGTGGGCATGCAATGTATTAATAAGATACCTACATTTATGTTCTCTCTCCCATATAATTCTTTTAAACATAAATTGTTCCAATGGCTAGCTGTTAATCCTTTTTACGAACTCAAAGAGTTTTTAGACCTTCCTTCGTCAAAGTTGTGTTTTTAGTTTATCATTGTGTTAACTATTATGCCTTCACCTAATGCCTTGTAGTACAACCTTTCTAATTTTGTTTTGTTTTGCTAACTTTCAAATGGTTGTTTTTACTTCTCAATAGTGATAAACTCTGTGATATTAGTTTAAGACCAATTAAATAACTTAAAATGCAATTTTCTTTTTTCGTAGACTTCAAAGTACACTTTGTAACTTAATTCTTAATTTGACAACTGCTCTGCATGAAAAATGTTTGACTCTTACAATACATTTGTAATATGTCTACTGGAAATAAACATGTCTTATGTCTTATGTCTTATGTCTTTAACAAATTGGTCATAAAAAAACCATTGTATGGTAATTCTCATATAAATATTGTTATAATAGGGGTCCAGTGTGCCTGAGCCTGTCGCACAATCGCCGGCCCGTGTCCCGGTAAAATTTTCCGAAAAATCCTGGTCAAGGCTCATGGGCCCCTCTAGTTAGCGGGCCCCCCTGCACCGCAGGCCCCTGTGTCCCTGGAATATTGAACCTAACAGTACGTCTTTGAATATCTTCTGACTGTTGATTAGTGGGACGTCTTTGATTATCTTCTCCCCGTTGATTTGTCGTTTTAGGTGGTACTCCTCGTATTGATATGTTTATATGCCTTTTGATTAAGTGTCCAGAGAGTCAGGCTTTACCAAGTAATTCCGAGAGTCCAGTCTTGATTAGATGGTTCCAAATTCCCAGATTTCGGCATTTCCAGAGTTAAGACAAACTTGCTCTATATCCTGCTCTCATTGATCTTACATGGTGGGTCAGCCTAACTTCTTTATTTTTATTTTCCTTCTTTGGAAATATGGCATCCAGCTCTATTATTAATATTCTGTGCAAATAAAGCTCTGCTGATTTCATCCCCTGATTTGTTTTTCAATAGTTTATAGTAGTTGTGAAATTTTCCAAAAGAAAATATAATTACAAGTGCCTCTTGATCTAGTTGATTATAAATTTGTTCTGCGTGTGTTAGTGATCTGGATGTATAAGCGATAGGGCGTTCATATGACCATTTATGATTTTTGTACCATAATATTGGGAATTTATTCCTTATTGCAGTGCACCTGTTTCTTTGTAGACAAAAATATCCCCTGTTATGATTTTTTGAAACATACCGTGTTTGGCAGTTTTGTAGTACATGGTGCAACTGACTTTGCTCTAAATTTTTGTTTACTTTAGTGCTCAATTACAGTCATCCCTTTGTGAAATAAAGTTCATCTTTGTAACAAAGTGTACGTTTAGAATCTTATCTTTCTAATGGTATGAAAATTATTCCATTTTACAATCGTTTTTAACCATTAATTTGGAGTTAACCAAACCCTTGCAAAACGCGACTATTATAGCCGCTGCCACTACAGAAACCACTTGCCGCGACTATTATAGTCGTGCTGCCAGTTGGAGGGTTAAGCTCTACAAAATGTGTTGGAAAGAAAATGCAAAATTTAATATTTTTGGGTTGGAAATTCGATAAACTAATTTTTCCTAGTTTAAATATTTTAACTTCCGGTACAATTATTGTTGTGTTTAAAATATAATTAATTATTAAATTAAATGTCCTAATTAAAATTTAGGTTGTTTCCTTTCACAGCCACTCTATTAAAAAAATTGTATGTCCTTTTTTTAGGAACCCAAAACAGTTTTGAAGAGAGTTGATTCAACTGGAAAGTCAGACAAAGAGCCACCCAAGAAGAAGAAAAAGGTTTCACATGACGAAAGTGTTTTGGCTGCCGATCTATCCGGTTTGTAAACTTTTTTTGTAGGTACAAAAGGTACTACAGTAAACCTTCCATAGTTCTACACTCCTTGTAGTTTGACACGGGCTGAGCTATTTTGTCAAGTGATATTTAATGGTTACTATTGTGATTCAAGCTGACTTGAACATTAATTTGTCATTTATTGTTGACTTGAGACTAATGAACAGTGAAATTGTTAAGCTTTTTGGTATTTAATAAATTTTGGTGGTCGGTATATAGGCCTAAAACTTGTTTTTTTACTTTGCTGTATATTAAACTCCATTTACTCCCTATAGTTCGACATTTCGATTGTTCGATACCCCTTAGGTCCACAAAGTGTCAAACTATCGAGGTTCTACTGTATTTATTTTATTTTGTATTTTAAGCCATACCTTAATCATTAAACCTTAATCAGTTACCTTAATCATTTTTTAAATTGTCCAAACCATTGGCATTTTTAAGTTTTTATTTTAATTCATTTGTTAAATATTTTAGTACCAGATCAAATTCCTGCAGTAGATAGCTCTTAATTGACCCTTACAGGACCAAACCTTACAGACCTAGGTCGGATAACTCAAAAGGTCGGTTAAAACAGGCAATCCCTAAAAAACTTTAAAAAATGAAGTGCTATTAATTTGGAATTATATAATCATACTAGCAGAGTACCTGTCCTTTGTACGGGGTTGCAATATAAGTATAAAATGCTTTTTGTAGTTATACTCTTAAGCTTTGCGTTTGCAATAAGGGAGGACACAGTTTGATAAAATTTGCTTTTTTAAATTTACAGTAGGGCCTATTCTATAGTATTACACATCTACCATAGCTATAATGTTCTACCACTTCACCAAAACAATAGAAGAAAATAAATTATCAACAATTTTCAAAATATCACAAATTATTAATGAAATTAAAAACATAAACATAACTAACTGTAAACAATCCTACTTTGACAGTTCTCATTGCGTATCACAGTTTTTTTTGCTGCTTAGTTGAAATTAGCTGTTTTCATAAATGCAAAAAAATATAGCGCTGCACCCTGTTGGTAAATCTTATAACTTTTTAATGTTTTTGCATATCATAGAACCAACTTTTTTAGTTGAAACAGCTGACTAAATTCTTTAATTCCCTTTAAATATGAATACTCATAAGGGTACCATGGAGAATTACAGAGCCACTGGGGCGGAGCCCGAAAGGATTTTTGAGATAAGAATATGCCTATATGTTGATCGGGAATGTGAGCTATCATCATGCCAAATTTCAGCCCAATCCGTCCAGTAGATAATGGGACATTGAACTTCAAACAAACAAACAAACAAACACACAAACTTTCACATTTATAATATTAGTAAGATAAGATATTCTGTACGTAAGTCGTACATGCATTATTTACAAAATTACTGTTATTTCCTTTTTTTCTTCAGGATTGACAATAGAAAAGTCACAAAGTAATATTAATAATTGATTTACAATCGCAGCGTAATACAATACTGGTACAGTAAACTTATTGTCGAAATTACAGTTACAAGCAACCATTTTGTTACGAGACATGATGTTTATTTATAGCCTCTCACTAGAGGCTTGAGTCACAAAAAATCTAGACCTTGGAGTCGTTAACCCTCCTCCTCTCCTTCCCTACAATTTAAAACACTTTATTTTCAAACAACTATTTTTACAGTGTTATTAAAACTTAAGCATGGTTCAGTTAAATAAACTAAATGGCTAGACGGGTAGGCTACTTCAACGCACTTTACGATTATTATAACTTTGCCCACAGATAACAAATCAGGTGTGTCGCGCTATGGACGATGATGACAAACTAGCTTTAGGATTATTTTGGACATGTAGAAAACTCTCTTTCCTTAGTTGAAAATGCTGTCAGTGACAGTGAAATATTCTAATGTTTTGTGTAAATAGTTGTAAAGTTTTGTGTTTCCTGTGCCAGTTTGGACTCTTTCCCATTCAGGTAAGCCTGCTATCCTCTCAAAAAATCCTAAATCCTATGTCCTTGTGCTCTATGCTACACCCTTAGCTTTAGGATTAATTCAAAATAACTTATTCTTATTAACATCCTGTAGAGTTTAGTATATTGTTACTATCACAGAGCGTAGGAGCGAAAATGCTGTGATTCCTAGAAAGTGCGGTTAAAGCAAACTGCTCTCAAAACAAGGTCGGTTAAAATCTGTAATATTCTACGAGCGAGAGCGGAAAATCTGATTATCCGTTAATGCGAGATCGGTTAAGACGTCTACTGTACTTGGATTTTCAAGTTGTAAGCAATAGTCCTATTGTGAAGGAATGTTGATCACAAATAAAATATCACTATTTGATTTTTAGAAAGAAAATCAACACGTCACTCAACAGCTGTAAAATCAGCAGAGACGGCTCAACGTGTGAGAGAGCGAGCCTTAGAGAGACGGAGGAATCGCAAGATAACAGGAGGTCCTGCCTACAAACCCACACAAGAGGAGTTACTGGAGGAGGCCAAACTAACAGAACTAGAAAATCTCAAGTCATTAGGTAACACAGTGTTGGTGAAAACCAGATAAGTTAATTTTTTTTGCAATTAGGTGTAATTTTAGAGCATTCAAGGCTAAATGAAATACAGTAGGCCTACATAAATTTAATATATAAGACAAGATGATATGATGATGGAACATAGGGGTTGTGATACAGCTTATTGACTAACTTGCACTAGCTGAATATGTAATATAAATAAACGTAAGCAATACATCTAACCTAACCACTGTCATGCACTGTTAACCGAAAATAAATCTGCTGATCCGCTTTGGAGATTTATTCATGGATAGCCTTATAACCAAAGGTAGCTAAGTCCAGTTTTGAACTGGACCATCACCAAGTGATTGAAAAGCGATGTTAAGAAATTGAAGTACTTACTATCCATCTTGAAAATGTACATACCTAGTTCCTGTTAGAAACATTTTATGTATGAAAGATCTTCAAACTCTTATAAAAAAACATTCACTTCGTTTCCATTAATGTTGATTTATTTATTTGCAGAGAAATATCAGAAAATGGAATTGGAAAGGAAGAAATCAAGATCGGTTAAAAAAGTGTACACCGGTCCAACAATCAAGTATCACTCCATATCTATGCCATTAATAGCTGAGGATGGGTTAGTTGGATTTTAATTTTGTTATGGTGTTTTTTAAATTTGTTACATAGTTCCATTTCATTTCAGGAAGAAATTGAATTTAACTAAGATGTTTGTTTTAATGTTTCATATAGACAAATTCAAGCCACAAAAACAATCATGTGATATTATCAAACAAATGTTTAAAATAAAAATGAATGTGCTTTGGTTTTAAATCTCATAAAATAGCAGATTTTGGAGTTTTGTAGATTAGCCTACTAAAGGGGCACTCCGGCACAGCCATCTGAAAATCAACCAATGGATTGGTGTCTGCCCAAAAGTCGTAAAGTATAAAAAACATATAAAACAAAAATAGTAACTCCCATGTTTTTATTTTCGTTTTTCCTTATCTCTGAAATACTATCATTGACTTAAGTTCATGGAAGTTCTATCCATTTGATGACACTCTAATTACTTGCTGATTAAAATTAATTTTACTTGTTGCTTTGGTAAAAGAGTATGTTTATTTATCTTCTGGAAATGCTATTTATAAGAGAAACTACTTCAAACTCTTCAATCATAAGTGGTAGGTAATACCATGGAAAAATATAATTAAATATAGACCGACAGCAGTGCTGCGGTTAGCATTTAAGTTCTGGCCTCCACCACTGGTAGCGCCGTGTAGTTACGTAGCGCATGCGCCTTAACTTTGATTTCTTTGACCTAACCACTTTGATCAAACCCCCTTGCCAAGCACATGTAGGCTAATGTTACTATTGTGATAGTAAACCTAGCTTATAAAAGTACTAGAGGTCATCCAGTGGCCGAAAACTCGGACCAAAGATTTGTAGGAATGTACAGACTTCTCTATTTTCACCCTGTATTCTCGCTGTAAATAAAACATTTGAATGGAGTTTATTCCATTATTGTTTTTATTTTCTGCTTATAATTCCTTGTTATTTTGTTACCAGCATGGCAACCCACAAGGCCAATGTTAATTTTGTTTGAATTTTAAATTCATTTTTGTGCATATTTTTGAGCCTATTTTAATTGGTAAAAGAACTCTACACATCTACTGAAAAATATCTTTCTAATAGTATGCATAGATTTTCCAAACGATGCACACGAGCTGAGGAAAAAGGTTTTCAAGAAACATTCTAGCCTATTAATATAGGCCTATAGGATGCTCTATATGTTTGAATTTGATGGTAATTGTTATTGTTTTTTTCTTTTTGTATGTTTTTGCAGTACTACTATAGAAGGTCGTTATGAAAGAACCTTTATAACATTCAGTGATGCAGACACTATGGCTGAATCATTGCCTCCGAGCATTCCTCCCAAGCTTCCTGCCAAACAGTTGTGCCCCATTACAAGGTAAATTTAGGAATGTTAATTTTTATTGTAGATGTTGTTATCTCATGTAGGAAGTTCAGGCTCTTTTTGGTTCTTAAATGTTTCAGAATGCGTATGTTGCTACCCTAGTGGTTATCGTCTTGGATTTTGGTGCGGGTGGGCAGTGGCGTAGATACGGGGGGGGGGGGGGGGGGGGGGGGATCATGGGGATATACCCCCCCCCCCCTTCAACCTATAATTGGTAAAAAAATTGTAATAACATTAAAAAATAATGTTTTAACATATGGAATGAAATAGTGAATCTTTTTCATTTTACTTCTATTGTATTAAGCTTGTCTTTCGTAAGTACACTTTCAATATCAATAAATCGTAAATAAACTGCAATGCCAGTGAAAGTAGTATGGTTTTTGCACGCGAAACAGAGTACAGACACAAGTCACGGAAGGTCAACAGCCTATCCGCCCCTCCCCCTTCCGCCGCATCTTCACCTTTTACACCTACCTGAAACTAATCGTTTTAACGTGAGCAATAAAATAGTTAATCAAATGCCATGCCTATTGTACTAAGCTTGTTTGTTTGTACGTATACTTTCAATATCGATGAATAGATATATGGTAACAGATAAACTACATGCCGGTAGCCTGTAGCAGTGGTGGGGTGGGATATTTGCGCGCCAAACAGACGTGAGTCACCGGACGTTCCGCGTTCATCCGCCCATCGACACCCTCCTCCTCTACCTCGCCACCAATGTGTTTTTTTCCGTTACCATTGTGCCAGTGTGTTTTTATGATTTTCGTATTCCGTGGTGTCTCATGAGTGTTCTGCTGAGTGTCTGTGAAGTAAACTGATAGGGTTTTTCGCCCCGAAACGAATATTTTGGAGGCGTTAGCTGGTGTGGCAATGGAACAACAAAGTTAAGTGATTTTATTACTCGCCGTTGAAATAAAATTTTTTAAATAGGCCAAGTCACGTTACCGGTATAGTATATTACGTTACTAGCCCTGTAAATAAGTGTTTACCGGACGAGTGTGGTCGTTCCCGTGCGAGACGAGGTCGAGTACGGGATTACCATACGAGTCCAGTACACACATTTTGGACGAGTTACGTTACGTACAATAGTTTACGCCATACTACTAAATCTTTATATATTCTTTATATATGACCACCAACTAAAGGACAAAAATCACTAGTCGTAATCTCTAAGAGAGGTTATGTTTTTGTTTATAAACACTCATTGCCACGCAAATACAGTGTATAATCAGCTGATTGGTGACCGGTAAAACTCATTACAGTACAGTAGTACCACGCAATGAAACCCCATTTGATTAAGCTGGCGGCAAACAGCTGTTTTCTGGACTAAATCCATGTGTGGGAAGTTCATCAAAATAGTGTTGTGTGGCGTAAACATATTAATCAAAATATTCAGTGTTAAAGGATAGAGAAACATAACGTTAAATGTTATCATATAACGAAAAGCCTAGCCTAAGTACTTTAAAAATAAATGTAATAAAAAAACTAGTCCACCTACAATTAAAGCAAAAAGTTGCAACAAAATAGCATAAAATGTATTAAGTATTAACACCAGACCCCCCCCGTATCCCCCCCCCCCCCCCATGACAAGAGTCTATCTACGCCACTGCGGATGGGATGGGTTCAATTCCTGGTACATACACAACAAATATGGGTTTTGATAGTTTTCCCCTAAAAGCATTTAGTGTTTCTCCGGGGTAGCGGATTTCTACCCCCGGATATTTACCCCCCTGAAAAAACGCCTACGTCATTTTGACGTTACGAGGGGCGGGGCCTATACACGGTCGAGAAACTGCCCGCGACTGGAAATTTACCCCCAATATATTATTGAATAATCAACATGTAATTGTTTGATTATAAAGTGATTTGCCATAGCACGGAAATCTACCCCCAGTCATTTACCCCCGGATATCTACCCCCGGACATCTACCCCCAGAAATCTACCCCCGGACATTTACCCCCGGATATCTACCCCCAGACATTTACCCCCGGATATCTACCCCCGGACATCTACCCCCGGATATCTACCCCCGGAAATCTACCCCCGGACATCTACCCCCAGACATCAACCCCCGGACATCTACCCCCAGTGGTTAAATCATAAATATCTGACCCCGGAATACTATCCTCGGAAATCAACGGCTCTTCGGTTAATCATTGTCTTGTAATATCCAGTATAAAGCATGCGATATGTCATTGTCTTGTTTAACAATATCTATCTTCCTAATTCAATAAGCTGTAACAGTCCTTTTTCACCCGACCTACTTCGCCGATTGTTACAATTGAGGTGTCATTTTAAAGCTTAAGATCTCGCGCAGAGCAAAATGGTAATTAAAAAGGATATTTTGATTAGGGCTTCAAAAGGTTGACCCCTAAGCCTTTCATGTAAATTTTCTATTAGAAAGACGTTAAAAAAGCGTTAAAAACTATCTTTTTGATTGAATATCCACCATTTTTAATTTTTCAACTTTTCATCTTTTACAGCTGTTCGTTATTTCATAGATGTCGTATTCTCCAAACAAATTATTAGTATTTCATAAATTACTGGTAAACATTAGGAGTAAACTAGACAAAAATGCAAAATATTGGGGGTTTGAACAAAATTTATTTTAATTCAAAAGTAGTGAGGCCATATTTTAATGGCTTAAGAGACTCGTGTCAATCCACCGAATCCAAAAAGACTATTAAAACGAATCACGATCGATGCTCTAGTTTTTGAGGAGAAGGCCACGTAAAATGCCTTCTGGGCCTTGACAGACAAAGCAGAAATTGAGATAAAGACTTGTTTTGGCTTCTTTAATGTGTGAAATGTAAAAATGACCAAAAAATATATAATTTTGAGCAATGTTTGTACTAAACTCTAATTTCATTTACATAAATTCGTAAACCCAAAAGAACCATGAGGTAAAAATACCTTCCCTATCCCGAAATATCCAATTTTATTCTTTTACATTATTCCATTATTCTCCGTTATTTCACAACCAGCATTGACAACCAGAACCAATCATAAAATATGTTTATGTTTTATTCTTTACGATTAATTATTTGTGTAAGCAACTAGACTTATTGGCCAATGTAAAACTCCGGATAGTGTCTACGACATAGGGATTATGCTATTTCGTATTACTAGAAGGTAATTGATAGTGAAAAATTATTAATTCATTAATCAACCTGTGGCAGGCTTTTTATCAACATTTAATTGCATTTTTTACCACTAGTAATCAGAAAATAACCTCCTTCAGTGATATGTTTTAAATTTCACGATCTGCGCTCGTACATGTGCCGCTAGCTATGAGTGTATGTGAAAATTGGTCAACCATTTAAATCACTGTCTGAAAATAAATCAAATGCTTATGGGTTAAACTTTTGAAGCCCTTTATCAAAATATCCTTTTAATTTCCATTTGCGTTGCACTGAATTTTAAGCTTAAAAATTACACCTAAATCAGTTACAGCTTAATGAATTGGGAAGATAGATGATATTAAACAAGACAACGACATATCACATGCTTAATACTAGATATTAGAGGGTAATTATTAAACGAAGAGCCATTGATTATTTTTATAAACCAATTACTAAAATCAACTACAACAATGAATATTGGCCGATACGTAGTGTAGCACGGGGGGTAGATTTCCGGGGGTAGAATTCCGGGGTCTGACATTTATGATTTGACCATGGGGGGTACATTTCTGGGGGTAGATTTCCGGGGGTAGATGTCTGGGGGTAGATGTCTGGGGGTAGATATCCGGGGGTAGATGTCCGGGGGTACATATCTGGGGGTAGATGTCCGGGGGTAGATGTCTGGGGGTAGATTTCCGGGGGTAGAATTCCGGGGTCTGACATTTATGATTTGACCATGGGGGGTACATTTCTGGGGGTAGATTTCCGGGGGTAGATGTCTGGGGGTAGATGTCTGGGGGTAGATATCCGGGGGTAGATGTCCGGGGGTACATATCTGGGGGTAGATGTCCGGGGGTAGATGTCTGGGGGTAGATTTCCGGGGGTAAAGTTCCGGTGCCAGGTTTATTAGCATTTTGATTAATTACAACTGTTAAGTAAACCGTGAAATGCGAGTTGATTGAATAAATAATAATTTATCCATCCTAAAAGTTCGTGGCCGGAAATTTACCCCCATACATGTGACGTCAAAGTGACGTAGGCATTTTTTCATGGGGGTAAATATCCGGGGGTAGAAATCCGGCGACCCGTTTCTCCTGTTCAACTCTTCAAGTAAAAATAGCACCTGCGCCACGACCTAGATAAAAAAGAAAATTGAATCCAAGGTTGTAATATATCAGCTGTTGGGACTTGGAGTTAAATAGTCAAACTTAGTATCACATTAAGGATGTAACAAAGAGAACTAGGGCCCAGGTTTTTAGGGTCTTTTGCGAGGATAGCAGTCTTACCTGAGTGGGAAAGAATCCAAACTGGAACTAGATACAAAAGACTTACACTATGGTATATACACAAAACATTAGAATAGGATATCACTGTCACTGACAGCATTTTCAACTGAAATTTGAGTTTTCTTCAGGTCTAATATGATCAATAAGGTGGTTTAAAAATCAATTTGGTGACTATATTAGACCTGAAGAAAACTGTCTTCTTCAGTTGAAAATGCTGTCAGTGACAGTGACATTTTCTAATATTTTGTGTATATAGTGTATTTTATGTATATCTTATGCCAGTTTGGACTCTTTCCTACTCAGGTAAGCCAGCTATACTTACAAAAATCCTTAGTATCACATTATAAGAACTTGGAAAAATATTTTTCAAACTATATTCTTTTTAAATCCCGTATAGCATTAAACAGACCATATATTAGTATGAGATCTAATCTCTGTATCTACACAATGCTAATTTTCCTTGTGATGCAGAGCCCCAGCGAGGTACCTGGATCCTGTGACTCAGTTGCCATATTGCAACCCAGCCACGTTCCGTATCCTGCGAGAGGCTTACTACCAGCAGCTGGAGGCGAGGGGTGACCGAGGCAACCCCGAGGTGGCCGACTGGCTAGCCTACCGTAACACTCTGAGGGACAAGACGTCTCATAACATCAAGGTGGACCCCTCGTTACTGCATATTCCCCCTAAGGTAAAGTTACTACAGACCTTGTAAAATATTGTTTTTCTAAAGGGCTAAGAGTTTATTTTATGATTAGGCCTATATAAGACTTGAAGAACAGAGTCAAATAAAATAGTTTTTACTTTGAAAAATTATTACCCAAGATTTATTGTTTCAGATCAAAGAAGAACCTATGGTGGTTACTGCTCCACCTACTGAAGGGCCAGTTCAAGTCCCCATGATAACTACAATTCCTTCTCTTTCTGTTGGCAGAATAGAAGAAGTCCCTCTTTCTACTCTATCACCTGTCAAAACATAAAATGTGAAAAAAGTAAATTTTTTATATAAAATAGGTTTTGTACAAAATCCTTTTTTTTTATTACCTTTTATCTTTAAGTATATTTGAATACGTAATTGTATTGTATTTAGAATTAAGGCACTACTCAAATGAATTGGAGTACACAAAGTGCATTCTTTGATTTGACAATATATTTGAGCGAAGCTCACTTTCCCTCACTTTGTAACTTCTTTGTAAGGGCATCAGAATGTAATGGCTTGACCAATTGATATGAAATTTGGCCAACAGCTAAAGAATACTGAACACAATGTTTTGGTAAAAAAATATTTGCAAATTTCCTTCTGGATTTTATTTTACGGGTCACGCAATTTTGCTTGTTATTTTAATGTAAGTTGAAAGAAAAATTATATTGCGTTTATGACATATGGGTTTATCTCGTTTCATTTAAATAAGATAAACATATGTTAATTGTTTGTAACTGTTTTGTTTACATTTCAATGTTTACTTTCATTCTAGGTTAAAGTTGGAATGTAACAGTTTATCAATGGAAGTAACAGTTTTGCTATATTTGTGTTGAGCATGCCTCAAAGGCCACGTCGTAATATTAGTCGTCGCACCAATAATGCAAATATTGTAAGAGAGTGGCGTCGTGAACAAGAAGAACCAGATGAAGCAGTGGCGGAAGAAGCTGATAATGATAGGCAGTTAGCTAATCAATTCCAACATGAATAATTAGCTGTTACTTATGAATGAAGGCGAAATACCTATTGTTATCCAAAGCGCAAGTTTCAAAAAAAACAACGTATCTTGTGTAAGGTAAACAATTTCCACTCAAAGTAGCGTATGCATTAACAATACATAAAACACAAGGTATAACTGTGGACCAAGCTGTTGTGGACATTGGATCTTCAGAATATGGCTTAGGTTTGTCCTAAGTAGGCCTATCAAGAGTTGAGACATTTGAAGGCCTGCTTCTGGATCCACCATTTTCACTAGACCGATTGATGTCAATTAACAGACACGGATCTTGGGCAAAAAAGAAAGAAGCTCTTGACCGTTTAAACGAAATGTCAAATACACATGTCTAATAACTTTTATCAATTCTTATTCTTATTCCTAACTAAATAAACAAACTATCAGATAAATTTGTCATTCTTTAGAACTTAAATAATATCGGGCAAACAAACAGTGAATCTGTTGAAAGGGGACATATTGTAGGTTGTTAGCTGCTTTAGCCATTGACAATCTTTAAATAACGCTTCGCTCATTTTTGCGTCTAAAGTGCGTAACGGCAGACCACCCTAGTATACATTTCCAGCAATTAATTTTGATTTGCTCTTGTGTAGAAGAGATGTGTTGCTATTTGTGAGATAAACGACCGACTAAATAAATAGGGCAATAACAGCAATTAAAAGTACACCATGGCTACTTCCTTGACTCTTGGTCTTTTTCATCGTAAACAAAGAGCTTAACGCTTAACATAAGAGCATACTTAGGTGTTATGCACTTCATAGCTCATGAACTAAAGTTGTCTGAATTCTTGTCTAATTAAGTCGGTAAAGTTCCTGTAAACAACCAACACAGCTTCCCAAGTGAGGAAAAAAGTTTTTAGTTGGTTGGATTTTGTCATGAAATTTCTTTTCAGGGCAGAAAAAACCTAACCCAAAAGCAAAAGTAAGCGGAAGGAACTTTCCTCATTAGCAGTCTCAAACTGTGAAGCTATTAGTTGATGATTGCTATCTTAGTTTACCCTGAAGAATAGGCTATAGTCTGCACAATTTGAATTTCCATGACACCATGCTCAGTCATTACACAACAACTGATATAACATTGTATTGGATTTATAAAATAAGTGCAGAATATATGCCTATTCACACCAGAGTGTTTGCTTAAGATCTTGGAGTCATCCTAGGAATGATCTCGTTCGTTCTAGAGTTACTTGGATAACCTGGGTTTAAATTCTACTTAAGCCCCGTTCACACGGGGCGAATTTACAAGCTACAAGCCGGATTTTTTACTCGCAGCTAGTAAAATAGCTCAGTGTGAACAACGTACTCGCTCAAAAGCGTAAAAAAAAAAACTTGTAAAAAAAGCTCTGGAAAAAGTTGACGCTGCCGCTACTTTACTCGCCAGCTTTTGAGCGAGTAGGCGTGTAAAGTAGCCCAGTGTGAACACAGTTGCTTGTGCTTGTGCGCATGTTATTCAAAGACGTTGGAGGATTTGGTTCAAGCTAGCTACTGAGCGAGTGGAAAAAGCATCGTGTGAACGGCTAAAAGCGCACTCGCCAAATCACCGGCGTCTTTCTACCACGTCTGCGAGTTGACAAGTGGACAAGCTCCGTGAGAACGAATACTAGCACACTCGCCAACTCACCGGTTTCTTACACGCTGGCGAGTAGCTTGTAAACTCGCACCGTGTGAACGAGGCTATAGCCAAGTTCTGTACACTCTTGCTTCGTTCAAAGTACTTTCTGCTGCTGTTAAATACTGCCTTCCTGAGTTAAACAATAGCGTTCATATACTGAATCGAATAAAATTAAATATGAGAGTGATATATGTTGCACTCTCATAGCAAGCCCTCGGCCCCTGGTTCTTTTTAGCGAGTTTCCCATATAGGGAATAAGCTATTAATATCACTCCCCCCAAAATAAGACATAATAAGCTCTAACTACAACTAAGTTTATTAAAAATTATAATTATTACAAGCTACATTTTACAATTAGTCATTAATATTCAACCAAGCTATAAAGATCACAATGTATATCACAGATCTGACAAAATAAGTCTATTGACAATTGGCCGGTTTCTCCAGGTCAGATAAGTGTCCACTGTCCAGGATCTTGATTGTACGAGCACATGCACCGAAGCAAAATGCTCAGGATCTCTGTAAGATACCACTTACTGACAATATTTTGGGTAGCTATTTGTCCACTTTCAGTATAGGTGTAACCTTTTACCCGTTCAAAACTGGACCAGCTTTACTGTATTAGGCTTTAAAGGTGAAAAATCTTTTTTGGTACAATCACAGTCCTTGTTTGAGAAATGAATTGAATCTGTTTTAAACTATTTCTTTTTAATGGAAAACAAGGCAGAATACACTGTTTACTGTAACTGAGTATCTTATTTTGAGTAAAATAATTTGTTATATATGTATAACCATAGATAAAAGGAGTGTATAACTAGCTGTAACCCGCGGGTTTGCCCCGTTTAACTTCTTAATTTTCAAGATTATCTCGTTCGCATGGCTCAATAACGCCCTGGTTGAAGTTTGTTCGCTACGCTCACTCACCTTTAGGTTGTAGCTCGTTCGCTACGCTCACTCACCTTTAGGTTGGAGCTCGTTCGCTGCGCTCACTTGCCTTCAGGTTAGCTCGTTCGCTACGCTAACTCGCCTCCAAGTTGAAGTTCGTTCGCTACGCTCACTCACCTTTTGGTTGCAAATTAGCTGTTGTCATAAACGTAAAAGAAATAATAGTGCTGCACCCTGTTGGTAATCCTTGTAACTTTAATGCTATTGAACATCATAGAACAGAACCAACTTGTTTAATTGAAACAGCTGTTAAGATTCAATAATTCCATTTCTCATAAGGTTAACATGGAAAACTCCAGAGCCACTGGGGCGGATCCCGAAAGGATTTTTGAAATAAGAATATGCCTATATGTTAATCGGGAATGTGAGCTATCATCATGCCAAATTTCAGCCCAATCCGACCAGTATTTTTCGCGTTCACTTGTCACAAACATACATCCATACATCCATACATCCATACATCCATACATCCAAACTTTCTCATTTATAATATTTAATATAATTAATATTAGTAGGATTATAATAAATATATAATATAGCGGCAGTCTTAATCCACTCAAAATTCTGTTTGTCCTAATATGATGTTAAACAATAAACTTTAGTTGCGTAAACTGTAAACTTATATAAAACAGTTGAAAACTTGGTCTCCATACTGTTAAGTAGCGCCGGTCGCAGGGTTCGTAATTTAAAGGTCGGTATCCACAGTGCGAGGCTGCTCGCTGCGAATGCCTCGTGCCATCTGCCTCAGGGTGAGCTCTTTAGCTGGCAGCTAGTTTGTAAACACTAATTTTGTGATCCTGGCATTTTGGGTTATCTTGTTTAATTTTTCATCATGACGTAGTGCCGGTCAAATAACAAGCGAGCGGCACTACTGAATTTTGACCGGCACTACTGTAATTTTGTAACCGGTGCTACTTTTGTAGCTGATGTGACTGTAAGTAGCGCCAGTCGCAGTTACTATATATATTCATATACTCCGGCGTCTCAGTTGATCTTGCACATACGTATAATAATTTTTCTACTTGCATTTTAGTAATAAAAAGAGTGTTGATAAAATGTTACTAAGCCTATAATATATTTTTTTCCTTTTCATTTTTAGCGAATTTCCCTATAGGGAAGTAGCTATTACCGTAGGTGGCACGGTAAGACCTAGACCCGGGACCGATTTACTTTTTCATTTTGATGTCCCCAGAGGCCAAAAACACCATTCGTTCAAATTTTTATATGTGTATATATATATAGACTTATATATATATATATATATATATATATATATATATATATATATACGTCCGTGAACGCGATAACTTGAGTAATTTTTGTCCGATTTTGATGAAATTTGGTTTAAAGGTGTAAAGCGGGATAAACTTGAATGAGTTCGCGAACCAGCACGATCGGACCATGGGAACGGGGCTTTACGGGGGGTTTTATGGGGTAAAAATTGGTTTTTCTCACTTTTGACCCTCAAAACACAAAATTTCCCGATTTCTCTTTAGACCTTTTTAAAGAGCTTAAAAAAACAAATAATTTAGTATATAAAAGTATTTTTGTTCAATTATTAGTAACGGAGAAAATTAAAAAAATTGTAAATTTAAAATTCCCATGTTATTCTTATGGAGAATATTGTCAAATGTTGTTGTTTGCTTGTTTATGGATATATTTTGATCAAACTTGGCAAATTTATTTATTTTGTACTAAGCTATCAATATTTTACTCAAAAACACACTTTATTAGTTTCCTTGTAGCAGCAAACCTAGGTACTCGTTAAACCTAATGTTATTAAAATATATTTATCTGAAAATCAATTCAGACAAATGGAAATTCGCTTAGTCGGCAGGTTTGCTGCGGCGGGGGTATTTTAATTCTTTTTGTCTATGGTTTAATCCAGCCGATGTGAGACAAACACATTTCATCGGCAATCGACAGAACGTCAAGTGTAGTGGTTGACCCTGGTGTAACGCGCAGGGTCAGTGCCAAGGCTTGCGCATGCGCTGTGTAACAGCAACAGCTGTATCGCAGTCAGCTGTTGAGTTGCCCGCCTCTCCACTCCAGTAGTGTAGTGGTCACGGTACAGTTGCCATGGCGACCAACTCTCAGCTCACGCTTATAGCAGACGTCGCCGCACTGCGAATAGAAGGTAAACAGCTTAATATGTACTATTAACAGTAATCATGGCTTCAAAAGAAATTGTAAGGCTAAATTGGATATTCATTAACAGCGAGTCCCGTTTAGTTGCCAGTGTTTGGTTTTTAGAATTTTTTGATTACGATAGGTTGTTTTTATAATTTATATACAAAATTAAAAAATGAAATAAATCTGCACTATTGGTTATACATTATTTAAGTGCTTCGAGAAGATGTATAATCCCTATGTAAAACGATGATAATCCCTACCGTATGTAAAAAGAATGTATAATCCCTACATGCAAAAACTATCAGAGTTAAACAGCTCATAAAAAACAAATTGTTATAGTGAATAAACATTAAAAATAACATAATGAATAATCGGACGCGTTTTAATGACTATCAACAAGTCTCTTAAACCTTAAAACTAATATTTTAGAAAAAATATTATTATAAAACATTTTTTCATGATACTAAACCAACGATGTAAATATCAAAATGGGTATAGTTAATAATGTGTTCAGTATGTTCTTAAAAAATAATGTATCCAAAAGTTAAAAAACTTGCGCTATACTACTATCTTTGACTATCAATACAACACTATCAATATTGGATATCTTCAGTATCCAATAGTCAATGCTACTATTGTTGAATTACAAGGATTTAGTGTATGATATTAACTACTAATAGATACCTAAGTAAAAACAAAACTATCGCAAAGATCGTTTAACTTGTTTTCTAGATGATTGATATTCTATTTCATATTCATATTTTTTACAGATGATAATTTTGGTTTGATAATTATATGTTAATACATTTAATTGAGACTATTAATTGTTAGTTTACAATATTATAGAGCTGAACCGGAAATGACCGATGAGCTTCCGCAAGGGACGAAATTGATATCAAGAGTCAAAACGGTGTAGGCACTTATCTAGTTCCGCTCAAAGCAGATGTAACGGGTTTTTGTTCTAATTTGCTGGTTTGCTAATTTGCTGGTTTTTTCTAATTAAGTGGTTTCGAAGGTTCCAGCAGCTTAGCCAAGTGGTTTGGTGATTCCGCTTTTAACTTTTGAAAATTGATTAGGAAAAATGATAGAAATAGGAAATAGCCTGTTCAAACACATTTTTTATAATAATAGTTTACACAACGATTGCGTAAAGCTAGTTTTAACGTCACGGTAAACAATTTAAGGTACGAGTCTTAATGAGTGCCTTGAAAACTTCTACGAGTTTCGGTAACACTATTTACGCGAGTTGCGTACACTACTTTACCTACGACAGTGTTTTAATTACTAAAAATCAATCCTCATAACTTCTAAGAGAGGATATGTTTTCGAGTATAACCTCTCATTGCCACTGACAGTGATACAACAAAACATTGTACCAAACACTAATTGCACCACTCAACAATTAAATTGGCGTGAACAGCTGATTTAGTTGAAGTTCAAATAATTACAATTTTACTTCTTCTCTATCAATCCTTGAACCTCATTGGTCCGTTTCCCGTGTTGTCTTGAGTAAAACCATAGATTAATTATTTTTGTTTTTTTCCATTTTGGATTTTTACTAAAATATTTCCTTAAACATGTCAGATTTATTCCCTATTTAAGTAAAGTAAAAAACTTAAAGTAGTGCATACGGTTTGCAATGTGTTGCGACCCCAAATATAAATGCGGGGGTCGCCGCCGGCTCGATACCGGGATAAGTCTGTTGTAATATTTTTATGTTTTAAAACCAGACCCAGCCGTCCCTTACCATTAGGGTTCTAATAAATTATTCTCCCTTTTAAAATAACATCAAAAATATCACACTTATTCAAACATCATCCTTCACCCCTCCATCTGAAAATAAACACCCTGGTAGTGGTGGGTTGACATTAAATCTTAACTAATCTGTGTGCTATGTCGTTGAGTATGTATTGTAGTGTATACACGTTACAATGGTTACCGCTATACATTGTAATGTATCCTACTTCCCTGTCCCTTAAATGTTGTGGGTACTGTTTTTTACACTGTTATTGTAAATGGTTGTTACCATCAAATAAATAGTAGCCTACTGTTGCCATAGCCTGTCGACGACAATTTGACAACATGCAAAAATGGAAATGAATTAGAATTGACTTTTAGGCACATTCTTTTCACACCGGTTCATTTAATAGCATTTTTAACAATGATTTTTACAATGGAGTAGGCATTATTAGTTTTACTTCCATGTTAGTGACAATAGCTCATGAACTTGACACCGTATCAGTAACAGCTGATTCAGTTGCAGTAGCGAGAGTTTTATCAGTTAAAACATATTGAACTTAAGTATTTAATATGCACTTCACAAGGTCGGTAATTTTGCTTATCAACTTGTTAACATCGGGGCGTTATGTTTACAGGAATCACTTTACCGATAACATTGCTGTTGCCGTAGGCTACACACCATTGCATAACTAACTGTATGTTACCGCATGTTGTATACTCGTAGTTACTGTGTTATAGAATATATTTTAAAGTAAAAAAAAAATCTTGATAAATTAGCTTGCAATTTTCTTTGTTTTAGTATATACAACAGTTTTATTATTTGTATACATTACTGTCAAGGCCCAATCAATATATAATCAAAATTCAACTTTTATAATCTACTGTACAAACACAAAGAAGATATTAGAAACATAAGTTATCAAGAAACAAAACAACTACAAGAATTACAATGAGAATGAAGAACAGAAGTGAAGTGAGTAGTTTCAAACATGTACACTTACAAAACTCCAATTTATAAAAAAAAAACAATTACAATGCTAGCTAGACTAGCATTACCTAGGTAAAAGTGTGAACCATAGTGAGAGCTATCTCTGGAACAGTGTTTCTTTAATTACTGTAAAACTTGGCATGTAGTAATAATATTGGCTTAGTAAAACTGATAGATAGTAAGGTTAAACATGCTGTTTTTAAATACGGAAAAGAGCTGATAAATCAGGTTTCTATTAGTTTTACTATTTACAACTCATCTAATTTTCCCGAAAATCCAAAATTCTCAATTTAGAACGGCTTGACGTCTTAAAATCCTCAAAAGTGTTCCGAATAAGCTTCTTGGTGATTCGATACTTGACTCAGATGTTCTGGATCATTGTTATTTTACACTCCATTCTACACTCATTCAGATTAACATACCCATAGAGTTTAATCATCGCAATGATATAATTAGATGATACATTTTGTAAAATCTTTTCAAACCAATCCATCTATCTGTTAACTTAATACCTACTCGTACAATAAGAGTTTCAACTAAAACATTACTTTTTGATCCGTCCTACGCGATTTTTACTATTGAGGTGTCATTATATGGCGTATGATATTTCACATCAGTGAATGGTTACGAAAAAGGACATTTTCTTTCCTTAGGTCAAACCCTTTTATGGCGTAGATCTACACCATAAACCACCAACAAATTTAACCCCAAACAAATTCTATTTGTTGAAAATTAGTAGCTTTATTCTTGAACTTACTGAAAAAGAAACGAAAAAAGTAATTCTGTAAGGGTAAAAGGGCGTTGTATTTTTCGTTTTGCATTGCAAACAAGATTTTAAGTCAATTGAAATGCGTAATTTGCGCATGGCTTCATAAAATTTTACTAAAATTGTTCAAATTTGATAAAAATGTTACAGTGGTAAAAAAATTACTGTAATTTACAAACTTATCATTTGATTGCATTTCTTTAATGTGAGCTCTTACGAGTATGTACTTCAGTCACCCCGAGGGTGATGTGACATTTTTCAAAACAATTCAAGTAAGCCAAAAGTGCTTTCTAGATGACTTTTGGAGCAAAACACATTGTAATCAGTGGCTGCTTACCGCCAAAGCGCAAATGGACAAATACAGTATAGCATCACAGACAATATACCATTATTTACGAAGAGCGGAAAAAAACAAGATATCTTTTGGAATTAAGATAATAATTTCAAACATTTGAAGTTTTTAATTTGATAAGAAAATTTTTTTTTGTATACTAATATTGTTGTTGTTGCCCTAACTTACTTCCTTGCAGCCCAACAAGGCTCTGACTCACACTCGTTTATCAAATTAAATATCCAATTACCACAAGCAACTCAGGTTGCATGTTTAGCAAACTGTTAGTTATCAAACGTAATTGTTTTTTTTTAACTCTTCGTGAAATGAAGCCTACAAAAGAAGATACAAGGTAACTAAATACAGACGAGATTTCCGACAACCGTCCGACCAACGTGAAGGTGCGATTTCCTACCAAGTGTAACACTTTATAGCCAGTGACGTCACTACAGGAAATATATTCAAGAATAGACTGAGTATACTATGGGGTTAAACAAGTGTCGATACTTGAATAAGTTACATGAAAAGAAAGGAAAAAGTTACGGTATAAATTTGTTCCTTAAGCCCACATCCAAATTAATGATTAACCATCGGTTTTAATGAGTCTACGGTTTGTAAGATGCACTTCGGTACCTGCACCTCCATATTAAGGCCAGTGGCGGCGCTTTATCTGAACAGTAGGGTAGGCCATTGGTGGGACATTGCGGGGGGTTTGGGGGGGGGGGGTATGGAATAGGCCCAATTAGGCTATCTAAAAATAGTGATTACAGTGACAGTACTAGTTTAGTACTAGCTCAAATCTCACTTATCACCAATAGATTTTAGCTTTGCGATAATGTCTTGATTGGGTTGTTTAGAGCCCGCCCCAAAATTAAATGTAGGTACCTATCTATGAAATAAAGATATGATTGTACGGGAAACCCTTTCTTTTATAACTTGATTGAATTAGAGCATTTGAGAAGTTTAAATTTATCCAAACCGTTATGCGTTAGGCGTTCAAAAACTTTCAATTAATAGGATAACGCTTCAAGGATATTCCATTATATACGCAGCCAGGACTTTTCCTAGTTGGCCAACCGCCTACTTCTTTAAGCACCTTTGTTAGGTCATAGGAAGCGTAACCTCGATAGTTCCGATCAAAGTTCGCCACACGTTCGATCAGCTGTTCGACATGCACCA